CACTTTTGACTGCGTCATATGAGAGACTTTCAGTGAGAGGAAGTGCAGCGATAATCTCCTGTGCCTTGCCGTACATTTTACTTTGCACGAGGAGGGGCCAGACATCACGAGGCCAATTTAAAGCCGTCGCAATTCTTTCAAACGCTGCAAAATATGAATCGACTTCACTCTCCCGGAATGTAGGAACAAGAGGAATACATTTACTTACGTCAAGGGCTGCACAGGTCTGAGCGGTGGAGGAGAGGGCAGGCGTAGCGAGCCCAGGGCTGGTAGGACTGGAAGGGAGGCGGCCTTCTGCCTCCAGCTCAAGGCGTCTGAGCTTCACAGCGGTGTCAGCCTCAATCTCAAGCGTTCTGATCTTTAGCTCGAGCTCAGCTCTACGATTCCTTTCTTTTTCCTCGGCTTCCATTTGGATGCGCGCCAGGCGCACCTTACGTCGAGTGGCATCCTTAGAGCCGGGAGAGGAGGGAGGCGAGAGGGGATTAAACCGGGGAAGCGTAAACGGTTGTTCGGGTCGTTCATCGGCCCCAGTAATCGAACCCTCAGGTCCAGGAGTACCCGGAGGTCTCCCCTCCGGTTTCGGGGAAATCGTGAGCACAGGCTTTGATACAGGCATTTCAGAAGGTCCTCCAGCCCCAGGGAAGGACAGCAATCCCCTCTCCACCAACCCGTCCCTCACAAGCACCTTGAGTTCATCTTTCCTCACCGTTTTGGGGTACTGAATAGCATAATATTCAGCAATGATCATTAGCTCTTTCTTCTTGCAATGGTCGATTCGGTCAACAGAAATATTATCAATAAACTCCTGTAAATCGAATAAAGCCATTTTGAAATATCCAACTACGATTACTTACCCTACACTTACTTACGTCTTTATCTGGCCACTTTTTTTTTTTGGACCGGGAATGGTTAAAATTCGATAGATCCCGGACGAGCCCCCAATATGTTACAACCCAGTGCTAGGGACAAAGGAAAGTAACACAAACCAGATATGATGTAACGTAAATAGATTTTATAAAGTGGTGTAGGTAAATAGATTAACAAAAAAAATAACTAAACGTCACAATTAAGATTTCACAATTCCAGAAATTTACTAAACCCCTCATAAACTGAGAAAACAAAAACATTGCCCAAGGGCCGAGCCAACCTGGCAAAACTAAAAGGGTATAATACAAAACACTCTTTACAATAACAACAAGCGAAAGTCTACAGTTGTGAGGGCGAACTGAAACTGCCATCCAGCCGCCAGGAGGGACAGGCGCACCGCACTTTTATTGGCGGAGGTGATTGAGGTGGAAGGATGGGATTGGAGGGACGGGACGTCAATCCTCCAACCACAGCACAAGGGGTGTCGGAGCCAGCACACATCCTCGGAACCACGGCCCACCAGTCAGACATCAGGCACCACACGGAACATGCAAATACGGAAGACACAAGCGGTGATACAAACGGGGAGCGCCAGGCGATGCGGAGCCGGAGACAGACCGCGAGCCGTAACAGCCCCATCAGCAGCTATGGAGAGGTGAGCAGCACTAAATTCCTGGGGTGCACATCAGTGAGGAGCTTTCCTGGACCACCAACTCTGCCTCAGTGGTGAAGAAAGCCCAGCAGCACCTCTACTTCCTGCGGAAACTCAAATGGGCAAGTGCCTCAACACCCATCATGACAACATTCTACAGAGAGCCTCCTTTTCAACTGCATCACTGTGTGGAGCGGAAGCTGCACTGACCACAACAGGAGAGTCCTGCAGTGCATAGTGAACAGAGCCAGGAAGGAAGATCACTGGTGCACCACTCCCCTCCCTGCAAGACATACACACCATCCACCTCACCCTCATATACACCACCTGCCTCACCTGCAAAGCTGTCACAATTGTGAGTGATGCAAGTCACCCCACACACAATCTGTTCAGCCTCCTGCTCTATGGGAGGAGGTACAGGAGCCTCCATTCCCGCACCACCAGACTCACAAACACCTTCATCCACCAGGCTGTTAGGATGCTGACCTCTCTTCCCTCTCTCACCACCAGGCGGCCAAGAAGTAGGAATCTGCATCTCCCTAAAGAATAACTTTAGACTTTTCCTTTTATTTTATTATTATTATTTAATTTAGAAGATTGAGTGTGAGAACATAATAAAAAATTTCATATGTTCATGTGGAAATTTGACAATAAACTTTTTGAATTGAACTGACTGGTGTAAAATGATAATTTATACTGACAATAGTTATAGTCCCACCAAATAAAGTTAAAATTTGAGAAAAATAAAAATCTGCCATAGGCACTTTAAATATTAATAACCCAATTAGTTTTGATTTTCAAAACTTAGAGATTTTAAAAATACGCTTTACTTCTTTTAACGGCAAACAGTTTCACTCCAGGCGTAACTTGAACAATACAACATGGCAGGCTGGCGTTGACATTTACGCTGCTCCTTCTCTCTTCTCATCTTCCATCACAGAGACATGCTTCCAACCACTCTATTGAACGAAGCTGACGACTGGCTATACACCAACCAACGCACAATGGAGGAGACACGCAACAAAAATACTGCACAATGTAGCAAAGAAACAGGCCGGGGTAATAGCTTTGGGGGAGAGTGAACATGTACAGACACATACACACACACACACACTGTATTGGGCTATTCATAAGGATGCAAGGGCAATTAGATAGCTGTCAGTGTCGATGAGAGGGCCTATCCACAGATACAATGTGCGGCGCATGTGAGGAGATGGGAACTGTCTCAGAAGCAGTCAGTAGACATGATGGAGGAGGAGAGAGTAGAGAGGAGGAAGAAGAGAAACCCTATAGACACATATAAACCAAAGAGTGCCTTGAATGCCCAGACAGGTAAATTTGTCTCCTACGCACTCTTTACAATGCCCACTCACTAACGTGCTTTTGACCTTTGAGGTTCCTATAGCAACTGTGAGTGTAGGTCGAGACGTATTTTTGAAGTCTGAAGACAATAAGCACCTGCACTGGAGAAATGCAATGTTTTGTGTAAATATAAGAAAGCTCCTTTACCTTTATTGTTACATACCTTTATATCATACTGATTCTGCAATATGGCACAAGAGAAGATACTCAGTTACTATGAGGAATTTATGGTTGGAGATACTGTAAAGCTGTAAATATTTGAAACTATGAAACTTTTGCATTTCATCAGAAGATATAAAAGCACTTGCAGTACAAATATGTATTAATTGACATTGTTCTTAATATTTGACTACTAATATTTGACCTACCTTGCATTATCTCACCACTTCCACACTCATAACGGTATACTTACCACTATAGACATAGAAAATATGGTGAGGTGAAACACTGTAATTGAAAAACAGTGAAAATGAGTCCTTAAATGGACAGATAGCAGATCTTACAGTTTATTTAAACAGAGTAATAGATCTACACTGGCGTTCCCAGAAGGTGCAGATGCTATAAGTCTCTCTGTGTGTTTGCTCTTACCCAATCTGTCACTTCACTAAGTAGACTGGGGCAGCTGTAAAGTTTCTCTGGGATTCCCTGAGAGCTCTGGCCTACAATAAATAGTTGATGCAGGACCTGCTTAAGTTTAACAACAAAGTTTTGACCTGAAACTAAATCTATCACAGAGAATGATAAAACGTAATCTCATTAGACAGTTGAACCTAACAACAGGAGAAACTCTATTTCTATACGTATTTGCTGACATGTGTCTGGATGACAAGTTTCTAGACAAAAGAAGACTTTTACTGTAGTATTACTGTGATGTTCCATGCCTGAATCATTCTGTTTTTGCCAATTTATTTTGCTATGGAACTTACCTGGACTATTGAAGGATTACACAGACATCAATAAAGAAGATTAAAAACAGAGGAGGCAGAATATTTGTTAACATGTCAATAATGTCTTGACCACCTTGTAAATAAGAATAACAAACTAAACCTGACATCTTCACATCTCTATTTTCACAAATATTTCTTAGAACAAAAACAGTTTTACCAATTTGTCAATTTGTATATTTAATATGCGAGTGAAAGCAAGAGTCACACACAAATTAGACTCATGTCTGTGCCACCGTAAAATGTAAGTTTTCCTTAACAAACTTCAAAGGTTGTTTTGGTCGAGTTAATGAAATGCAGAAGCGTAAAGCAGCTTAGTCCCGTGTCCGACCCCCACTATGAAACAGCAGAGGACTAGGAACTTCACTGTAATTGGTTCATTAAAATTTGCTGGAGTGGTTGAATCCTTTGTATAAATAACTCATTGGAGTGCTGTACATACTATGCATAAAGTAATGACTCAAACAGGCTTGGTTAAAATTTAAACTTGTTTACTTGGTTATGATTAAAGGTGCAACTTTTCTGGTGGAGGGTCTGTCACCTGCTTTTCTCTGTGAAGATGTTATTGCTTTGTCTGGAATGTTTCACAGTATGGCATTAAATCTTTTTTTTTTTATCATCATGGAGATCAAACCAGACCAAGTTACTGGTCAGATCGGTGGAGTAGCACAGTCAGAAAGCCTGTTTTTCTAGACATTTTTTGGGCTATAAAACCACCTGTTATTGAATAAATATATGGTAGACTGTTTAATGTCATACTGTGGAACATTATGAAAGTTACATAGTGCATCTTTAAGGGTGATGGTTTAGTTATGATCTAATTCCAAATTACTTCTGGTTCATTCTAACTGTTGGAGTAGAGTACCCCTTTACCTCATGTTTCTAAATCACTGAACTTGCCCGGTTTCTACTTGTTGGTTTTCAATTAGCAGTTAGAGCTACTTATTGTCTATATTTATGCATTTTTACGTGCAAGCTCCACATATCTGCTGCATTACGTCTGAGTATGAATGCTAGCAAAATGTCAAATGAATAGGCAACTGATTTGAGTAAAAGAGAGAAGATTATCGACACGCTCTCAATAGGCTCGGTGAGAGAGGAGGCATAGGCACCATTTGTATCAGCTTAAGAGGAGTGAAGACACCAAGATTCAGCTGCTCCCTCTCATACACGCTTTAGGGGTTATTGTTGACATCCTCCTGTGAATTAATTCAATTTGCGAGACAGCGTTAGCATTGATAAAACCGGGTTAGCATTGACGTTAGCATTCAGCGCAGAACAAACGGCATGATTACCCAAACGCAGGCGGCAATTGCTAACTTCATTTAGATATACAAGAGCTAACCTTATTCAGCTCCTGCTAACCTCGTTGCACGAAGAGCTAGCGTCTCTCAGGGGCCTTTTAACAGCAACTATGCAGTTTAGCTAATTATTCTCTAAGGCTTTAGATGACAAGGTGGCT